ACAAGTGCCAGTCAAAAAAGTGCCCAAATTTGTGTAATAAACTCTGTGATAAAATGATTCAAAGGAGTGCTAAATCAGTATGAGCAATTGATCATTTTAAGTTAAGTGGTCTGCAATGAGAGGTCAAACAGGAACCAGGAGTAGTTTGATACCAGCACATCAACACTCCTGAATGTACCAAGAAAATTTTGCTTTATACAGAGCTTTTATAGGGATGTGTTGCATAAAGACGTTTTTATAAGGGAAGGAAGATAAGTAAGAATCAGGGAATAGCTGCAGCTGAAGGGCAAGGCTGGAGAACATTTAGTCCAGCACCCTGCTCAGTGCAGGGTCAAACCAGAGCTGGTTGCTCAGGGTCATGCCCAGTCAGGATTTGAGTATTTCCAAAGACTGAGTCCACAGTGTGCCTAGGCAAACTGTGCTAACATTTGACCACCTTACCATAAAAAGAAGGTTTTATAGCAAACTTTTCTAATGTTTAAACTAATCTTCCTTTTTTTTCAGTTTGTGTCTGGTGTATTTCTTTTCACTGAAAACCAAGAAGAGTCTGGATTCGGCTTTTTCACTCTTCTACAGGAGATGTTTACGCACAGCACCGGCTCTAGCTGCAACCCCAGGGACACACCACCAATGTCTGACCTCCAGATGGATCTTGTGCTGCTGATCTCAACCCTTTTATCTCAGCAGCTGAGCCACTTTTCAGTCCTCCTCACTGTCTACTCATCTAGTAACTACTTCAGTAGTTTGTGCATGGGGATGGTACAGGGGACAGTGCCAAGAGACCTAAAGTCAGGATAAAGAGTATCTGCTGCTCTGCCCTCATCCATTGAGGTTATCACTTCACCATAGACCATCATCAAGTTCATCAGGCATGACTTTCCATATATTTAGCATTTCACACTATAATTTAAGGAATGAACCAAACCCTACATTTAACATTTTGTTCCCTTCTCTCATTACTTGCCCTTCTGTTCCCTCTGCTCTTTATTCTCTCTCTTCACATCTGAAATTCAACTAAGCACACCCTAGCACAACACATTTGCAGATGGCCATTCAGTAGCTTTCACAACACAGATGTGTGAAGATCAGAATACAACCCATGGTAATGTGGTAATCACTCATTATCAAAAATCTATTTTTCTTTTAAAATGTTTGAGTTTACATGATTTAGGCTCATGCTATATATGCCCCCAGGAATAAGTTTTAAGTCTCCACAAGCAGGTAAGAAAAATCTCAACTACCATACATTTCACATATGCAACAGAATTTTATAGATGCAACTATATTTGCATTTAGTTCAGACCAGGATTGTGCTTTTAAAGCAAGCCTCCTGACAACCCTCACCTATCACACTTTGTTCCACACCAGTGATCAGGCTGAATGTGCAAATTGGATATCTTGGAACAAAATTGAAGTGGAAGAGGCATTTCAGGCATGCTCAGTCCAGAGAGCACAAACTAGGTTAAGAATTGGTCTGAAATACCACAACCACACACAAATACACCAGAACCACTCTGGCAAGATCTTAGTCCAGAGACAGCTTCCTTTAGTAGAGGTTGTCAGAAAGTAAGAACTTTATCACAGTGTATTTGGCCACTATGGGGAAAAAAATTAAATTTAATCAATGCAAGAAAGATAAGGCTGGTGTCAGAAAGTTGATCTAATTTCCACTACTTCCAGTCATGCAGGAAGGAACAGAAAGTACGAGAACTTCTGATCTGTAGTAACAACAATGCACAGAAGGGCCAGGAATATGTCCAAATAAAAGTAGGATTTTAAGAGGCCTGCAACTACCCACACTCCACCTATGGCACGTTATACACAAGGAAACTCCACATTTGCCGATCAGACAAAAGGTTGACACCAGACTCAGTAAATCAGTTTTCTTCAGATGTCAGTCTTCACATGGAAGGATAAAATGCTTTACAAAATCCTAAGAGAAACACAGCACAAAGAAATGACTGACTTTTCTGAATGATCTTCAAAAGTCCAAGAACAAAAGAACAGACATGTACCTAAATCCACATTACTTTCCAGGATACTCAAATAAACTGCCTTGCAAACCTGTTTTATAGGCCAGCAGAATAATCTACCTTAGAAGAGACCTCTGGACATCTGGTGTAATCTCCTACTCAAGGAACAGAGAGCTTCAAGGTACAATCAGATTGCTTAGGGCCCTGTTCAGTTAACTTCCAAGAAAATCTTCCAACGACGGAGGTTCCTCAGCATCCTTTAGCAGCTTGATGCAGTACTTACCCACTGTGAAAACTGGTTTTTCCTTGTAAATTTTGAGGTGGGAAATTCTGACTGGCTTTATTTACTGCCTTCTCTCCTTTCATGGTGCATGTGCAAGAAATGTCTGGCTGTCTGTTCACTACACTCACTCAGCAACAGAGAACAATTAGGTTCCTCCAGAGTCATATTCTTCTTTTTTAGGCTGAACAAACCCAGACCTACACACAGGCTCTCCTCATTATATATACTCCCCTTTAGAGCCCCTCTCCAGCTTGTTTATATCTTTTTTTGTGTGTACAGAAGACCAAAACAGGACATGCTATCCCAGATGTTGCTTCACCAGTAAATAAAATAAATCACCTCCTTCAGCTGCTGGCTCTGCTCTTGCTGACATAGCACACGATGCAGTTACCTGTGACTGAAGACTGGAATCTGAACATGTTAAAATACAGAAGCCTCTCTGTAAAAATAGAAAATAGAAATGAAATAGAGCTGGAAGCTAATTTATCCCTGTCTGCTGCATCCTCAGAGATAGAAGGGCTACCCTGTGGGGGGCTTTCCACCAGTGGCTTCCGGCACTGCAGGAAACTCAACGTGTTCTCTGATTCCCTGGGAAGTCCCTTTCCAGTGTCTCTGTAGCTTGTGCTTCTGTCTTACCAAAACTCTGTTGCACTACAGGTTTCTTCCTCTTCACCTTTCTCCTCCCCTGCTATTTCCTGCTCTGGAGGCCAGCTTTTCCCAGGGCTCAGCTGCTTCCAAGGAAGAAACAACATCTCTTTGCCTGTTCAGCAGCCCAGGTTTCAGGGTCCAGTAGCTCACAGAAGGCAAACTGAACTCTGTAAATCGTTCTCAGACATTAAAAAAAAACCCAAAACAAACAAAACCAAACCAGAGACACAAGAAATAGTACATTAATACAAAGCATTCAAATATTATGCAAATATCACCTGTCTCTTAAACACTTCAAAGAGCTTTGACTAAGGCTGACTTATCTAAATATTGTGACGCAATGATCTTGTTTGTGAGTTGAGGAAGTATGGGATGCATGATCAGACCGTTAAAATGAGTTGAGAAATTGCTGAACTGACAGACTAGAAGACTAATTATCAAGTGCTCAAAACCCATTTGACAAAAAATAGTAGGTGAATATCACAAGGGTCAGTATTAGGGCAGACTACTCAGTATCTTCCAAAGCACTCTGGGCAACGAGGCAAATTGCAAAATGTGCTGAAAGCACAAATGATAGCAAAATAGTAAAGAAGGGGAATAGACCTCTGCTTTAAAAAAAAAAAAAAATCACTTGAAGATGTAATCTGCCCAGAGAGGCTAGGGAGTTACATGGAGGTTTTCAAGAGCTGATGAAAAAAAGTCAGAGTTGACCTCAACTAGTGTTGGCAACACTCCTAAACTTGGAGGCAGAGGCGGGACCAGATGGCCTCCAGAGATCCTTTCCAACCCATGTCTCCGTGATCCTGTGAAGATATAATGCAGGAACTTAATTGCTCAAGACAGAAATAGTAATTTGGGGAACAAAAGCATACCTCAGTCTGACACATGGATGCATCAAATAAAACACTTCCCATTCTACTCAGGCAAATGGGCACATTTACCACTCTCAGATTCAAAAAGGAGTGTGTTGGTTTCAGACCTTCTCATTACAGTTTTTTAATTATGTGCATGAGGAAAAGCAGAGAGGTCTGCTTACCTGTAGACTCAAAAAACCTGAAGTAGAGAGAGAAGTTAAATTCAAAGTCAAATAACACAATATACTTTGTATTGCCAAGAGCTTAGAGAAGTCTCTCTCTTTTGTCTGACAAATCTCTGAGGACTTCTCAACTGCCACTTAAATATCACTATAAGCACATTTTAAATATCTCACTACATTTACACAAACTTCCAATTACAAAATAACTCATGACAATGGCTTCTGAGTATACAAAGCCATCCTTCACCTAGCTGGCCTATAGGCTCTTCCACCATTGCCAACAGAAATAGGATGTAGACAGAGTTGAATTCCAGTTAGAGAAAACTGTTTTGCAAATAAAACAGTAACTCTTGCAGTGATGAGTTGTCTCTACCTAAAAAATTTCTTGTGCTTGGTCTGAGTTGCCTAAACTGCTCCAGTAACCCATTTGAAATCTGGCAAGCAGATTTCTTGCTGCTGTTCTACTAGTCCAAGAAAATCACAATGAGCTTCCATACAAGAATCAGTTTCCTGAAGGTTGCACACACACTACGTGCATATGCACATGCAACACAGAAAATCAAACAGAAGAAAAATTCAGCTGGTAGGAAAGTTTATTATCTGCTCTTACATACTCAAAATACAGAAAAAAGTAATCATCACACTCAGTTCATGCAAACATATTATGCTAATCTTTTCCTACATGCAGAAAAACCCCGTTTTTAGTTATTACCTTAGAGCAGAAAGTTAATAATTAAAAGTTTTGGCTTAAGAGTCATTGAAAAGTCCAGGTTGCATAAATGACATGGTATCACCAAGATTATTTAAGGTATTAGAGGCACAAGCATCATAGACCTAACACACATAAGATAATCAATAACCACATCAAAGAGATCAGTCCTTCCATTCACAAGACTTGAAAATTGTACTTTTTTTCCCTTATGTTTTATGCATCGAAAACTACTGATGTATTTGAATATTTCAGGAAGCATTCTCTTCAGTCCATTCATTAACTACCTTTTCACATTAGACAGTGACTGTACCCACTAGGCACCAATTAGCTCTCCTAAGTATTTCTGTGCATATCTGGAGGACATTCCACCTCCCCCATAAAGATAAGAATACCAAAGACTTCTCCCCACCCCTTACCAGTCAAGTGCAGAAGGCACAAGTGATATATTCTTAAATTAGAAGATTCAAAGTTAAAAGTGGAGCTTTTTAACAAGTTATTTTTACCAAAAACAGTCTCCTTAGCAATGCTGTGCTATGAAAAGCACAAGTACTCAGTCTTCTCATTTTGCTCAAAAAACACTGTAAATGTATTTAAATAATGTACTACTACATATTTAAGCTGATCCCATTCATCTAAACTAGGATGAAACTTTATCCATCGTATGCATTACCTTGCTTTCAAATAATCCTATATATTTCAGTAGGGCTTTGCCAAATAAGACAATAAATATGCATAAACATGGATCAGATTTTAATCATCTTAATGCAACAGTACTTCTCCTCCTTTACTTCCCCAAAATGAAAAATAAAATGATGAGGAGCTCCTTATAACAGCCAGGCTTAAGTGCCTTAAATCATTCCTGGATTTTTTCCTGGACATTTGCTCTGTACAAGTGCCTGACAGGAGGCTGTATTCAGGTGGTCTCTTCTCCGGGGTAAGAAGCAACAGGATGAGTGAAAATGGCCTCAAATTGCTCCAGAAAAGGTTTGGATTACACATTAGGAAAATATAATAGGATACTATATTAGGAAACCCTTCACTGGAAGAGTTGCCAGGCATTGGAAAAGACTGCCCAGGGAATTGGTGGAATCACCCTCCCTGGAAGTGCTCAAAAGAAAGGTGGATGCAGCATCTGGAGACATGGATTAGTGGTGCCCGTGGCAGTGCTGGGTTAATGGCTGGGTTCCATGATCACAGAGGTCTTTCCCTCTTAATGACTCTGTGATTCCATTTATCACAACATCCAGCTTCAGTAGGTGGAATTGTAATGCAGTCCTGGTCAGGAGTGAAAGATAAACTTGTATACAATTTGGGACCCAAGCCCTAAATAGACCAATCATCATTTGGTTTTGCTTCCTCTCCACAGCATGGACAGCAAAGCTGCACCATGACTGAGGATTTGCTGGAATCTCACATTACAGTGATGGAGCCCTGGCCAGAACAAGATTTGATTTACAGCAGCCCATGACGATGGTATTACATATGTCACATTTATTAGGATTGAATTCCTTCTCAGTAGATACTCACCAGAATTCAGTTGAGTGACTCAAAGCAATAAATCTATTTTAGGTTTTAAAGAAAACTATGACAAGCAAGACAAAAAAGAAGTTGCCTTTAAATCCAATTTAATCAGTGGGCTCTAAACTTCTCTAGGGTCTAACTAAACTATTCTCCTACAGTTTGCTCCTTCTCTCAGCTTTGTTACTAAGTTAGGTGTAGTCACCTATTTATACCACTTTACCTGGTAGTGCTGCTGGTATGGTCACAAAGGACAACAGAACATATTTTACCAGGTTACCAAGCAAGCACAACACAAATTATTTCAGTCTGACCTCCTAGCTATATACAGGATACCATAGATGGAATAAACACATGGAATAAGGAAAGACTTCAAAAATATTGAAGATAAAATGCTGGAAGTTTATTTCAGGTGCTGAGCCACAATACACTGTGGAAATTAAGATCTAGGTCCACCATAAGCAAAAACACTGCAAAAGAAATCTGATAATAATAAAAATTCCCTGTAAAATTATTTTTGCAGGGCTGAAATGAAACTGAAACACATTTAGGGTGAACACTATTGTTCTAACTCCACAAAACAAGAAAGGATTAAAAAATGCATTTTGTATTTAATATTCCAGTGGTGGCGTATTTTAAACTCCATTCCTTAACATGTATTCTCTTTCCTTCTTCCAACAGCAAGTGCTGTGTGGTGCAAGGACGAGTCAGCAGATGGCACCCACGAACCAGAGCACACACACCCTGATGGCCTTTAGCTCACATACACTGGGCTGGGTTATTCACAAAAACCTGGGATTTCTTTCTGTACCAGCCAGGATCTTCCCTTACACCGTGTAAATGGTCTGTGTATAAATCAAGTTTACATTCACTACCAAGGTGACTTGCTGCACAATCATCTGTTGCAAGATGTCGTCAAAAAGAAGCAAACCAGTGCTTTTCACTTTGATAATTTTAATCTCAAACTCCTCAATATCAGTGTTTTTACCCCAGTTTACATCAGTTTCTGTTCAAGAATGCCAACTTCAGACATTCCCTTCCATCTTTCCAAACACACACATAAGATACAACCTAAAAAATAAAAAAGAAAAACAAAATCAACATACAGGTGGCAACTTAGGTCAAAAACCAGAAGGCATTATAAAGAACCTAAAATTCTCTTAAAAATCAGTATCACAATACTGACACAACTCATGTTTTTTAGATCTAGGGTTAACAGCAGTCCTTATGCTATAATAATGTGGATAAAGGATAGCTGAAGGTCCCTCAACAACAAAATAAGGTAGGGAGGGAACCTGCTAATGTAGAAGAAAAAGCAAGACGGGTACCAAATATTTCAAGGAGACTGGACTACACAGAAACTCTATACTGCATATTTGCAGTACATAAACCACCTAAAATTCTAAATATGCCACTGTCTTCACATGACTTTCACCTTACAAAGAATTTCCTGAAAATCCAGTGCCTGTTATTGTTCATGTTCAAACTCCATCACCCCTTCTGCCCTTTAGTTATACCACTAGAAAGTAGCTGGTTTTCACACAAAACTAATTCTCATACCAATTTCAAATCTGTGCAACACTATGTTTTTCTTCTTCCTCCTGTTAGTTAGAGAAAGAACAGGCTGGAAAAATACAGAGTTGTGCTGGGAATGGAAGACATTCCATTGAGAAAAATCTCATCCTCACTCAAGCTACTGATAAGGTGTACATCCATCTCTTTCTGTTTCACGACTGACAAATACCAGATAAGGATTTAATTCTTAGACCTGAAGTAAATACATGGAATACAGACACGTAGCTTGGAGCAGCTATTTTAAGCAGTTGCTTTTGTTGTCGCCACATGGCGTCAATCACATCATACATTTTAGATCAACAGAAAGACTGTGATGCAGCAGGGTTCTGAATAGATAATCAGAACTGTGCTTCAGTATGTGACAGCTCCACCAAAAAAATTCTCAAAATCTAAATACACGCACAGGACAAACTGCATCTGCTATATGTAGGTCACAAACCAGCAGGGAGTCAGAAAAACTTCCATTCAGAACTGTAATGGATTAAGTGATGGATTAAGACAATAAAACAATTTATTTGGGAAATAGTTATTAAAAAGGCATAAGCTTTTTTATTTAAATTATTTGAAACTGGAATATATAAACAGGAAGACAGATTATATGCCTAAGAAACACTTCTATACCATTTGTGCTGTGTGTTTTCCCCTTTTTACTGTGAGGCAAACAGAAGCCATCACAGGAGCAGCTGCATCACAGAGGACACAGTAGGTAGAATGAACACCAGGTAAAGAAATATCTGAAAGGAAGACTTGTACTTAAAGAGGCAAAGATAAAGGGATTTCCAGGAGGACACAGGAAGGAAGGACAATATAACAGCATTCTGTGATGTATTTCCATAGTTTCTGTTGGCAGCAGCAGACTTTAAAAGAATTTGGAAGCATCTGTGACCAAATCCCTCAAGTCAGATAGTCTGAAGCAGTCCTGCATATTTATTCAGAGGAACAGGACCACCAGTATGTAAGAATTGAATGGGTCCAGAAGTTGCTCTTTTACGCATCTAATATTATATATCCCGAATTGTATCTCTGCTTGTTAGGGAAACATTCCTGGGAGAATCCACACAGAAGCTTTGCAAAGAAAAGAAGGTGAAAGTAAGCAGTACCAACTTGTTGATGTACATTAAAAATGTTTGATATCACATAGGAGGCAGCCCCTGGGCTGTGTCAGTGCTCTCAGTCTGTACATGGGTCTGTCCCAGGATCTCAAAGAAAACCAAGTAAAAATAACTCCAGATCCCAAATTGGCAGAAGGCTAATTCAGATGGCCCTGTGGCTCAGTGCAACACAACCTCAGCCACATTAAATACACATTTCATTCTCTTCAAGACTGCTGGTATTTCAGTCTGAATGAACTGACTTTGCTTTCAGTCAGGGATACCACAAAATCCAGCTGTTTAACAAAAGCAAACAAATAAACAAATATAAAAAATAATCAGCATCCAAAAGAGCCATGAAGAATGAAAATGGAGGAGATGTGCTTCTTGACTTTATCACAGCTTTTGTAAGTCAGCCCATGGTACACATCAGCCTGATATTAAGGCCTTAACACAGGGGACATCTCCCCCCGATTTAGGGCTGGTACCTCACTTCCTCAGCATCTTCTGAAGTTCCCAGTTTGTTCTTCCCTTGTAAGCCAGCCACACACTGGAAACACAGGGATGAAACAATCAGATTTCTCCCCAGTACTGGTTCCAGTAATATGAAATGGAAAATTTCTCTATGCTGCATGCTGCGATGTCTTTATGCATTTTTAACTCACCACAAGGCCACATAAAGCCAACACACACAGACTTGAGTCCACCCTGCTGCAGTGCAAGAGTTGCTTTCATTACTCTCTTGCCAGAGATACCATATTTTTTTTTCCCATTTTATTGTCAGCTTCCAGCTCATTAGTCCCTACCACATGGAAGGCTTAGAATCCCTCTGAGACAAACACATTAAATCTACCATATCTGTAATGCCTCTGCTTCTGGATTAAGTTTCAAAGCCCAGTACAAAAGTTATGTAACTTAAGCAGGGTAGGGTGTCCAGAAAATGCAATTGAATTAGAAGAAAATAACCTAAAAGTAATCATATTAAACCAAAACAATTTTAAAAGGTACATTCACACACACTACACAGGAAACTGAGAACTCAAAATCCTCACTGGTGGAATGGTATCAGCAGATCTTGTTGCCTGAGGATTGGACCTGAGAACAAAACCATGGAGAAATCTTTGCACTACTGCAGCAAATGCTAAAATTTCCATCAGCTGGAAAAGAACGAGGAATTCATCTGGCACAGAAGAAAACATGTTTTCAAATGCACAGAAGTAACTGATAATTAATTTCACCTTGATTCAACTATGATCTCTCACCTTTGTGCTCAAATCTGTTGCAGATCCTGTCTTAATTAATGCCACAGTGTTAAAGCTGCCATCTCTCTCTTCTCCACCCTGTATTTTCTCACTCCACCTCCCCATACCCCTCATTTTCTAAGACAATATTCCTCTCCAAGCAGTATTTTTTACCCACCTCTATTAACCATTAGTTTATTTATTGCATTTAACTCTTGCACAGTGTTAACACATATTTTATATGAAATATTTGAGAAATTCCCTTAAATAAGTGGTAATTAGAGTTGTAATTTTACTGTTTTGAATGTGATTAAACTATAAGGTTGTTTCTGTAAATGCAGTGACTTTATGCACTGCTAATGAAGGCTGACCTTCATTTAGCAGCCTTTTCCTTGGGCCAGAAAACTGATATCAGAACTTGTGGTTGGATTAGGACCTCTGATGCTATTAAAATAAAGAACAGCTGCTGCTCTAACCACATTAGAATGGCTTTACTGCACTTTTTGATTACTATCAGCTAGAAAAACAGGATTTTTGTTGACTTCAGAGTGACAGTTTGTGGAGGGAGAAGGGCAAAACTCTGTTTGATCATTAGCAGATATTTGCTGATAAGAACTACTTAGTGGAACAAACCAAAGACTTTTCTATAAATTACATAAAGGCAGCTTTTCCCTTGGGGAGCTGTAGTTCTTGCTTGTGTCAGCAGATACCAGAAGGGTTGACTTCTTCCTTTAATATGCAATGTGCCAGCATCAGTTTCAATGAGACCCCAAGGAAGTTCCTGCAGAGTTCATGGCTGTGCTTTATTCCAAGTGTGACCTGCTATCTTATCATCTTTGCTTTTATTGCTTTATAAAAGCATGCCATGCCTTAGATTGCTAGAAGAGAAAAAAAAGAGAAAAAAACCCAAACAGGAATAACACTGGTCAAGAATAGTAAGTATCACCAGTTACAATAAATCTTATCGTTCCAGAAAACAATATATCCTGCAACCATCCTGGAGAAGAAAGGCTCAATATTCTGTGTACAGTCAAATTCCAGCATTTTCAAGAAGGATAATCAAAAGGAAAACTCCATCAACACCAAAACTCTGTCAGCAGAAGCCCATGGCTGAAACCCCATTCCAGCTAACCCTGGTGAAGTTCAGAAGAAACCCTCACACCAGCCTCAGTGTTCCCGGCCAGATCCAACTTCCTCAAAGATCAAAAGGCATTTGAGTCCAGGAATGTCGTTCAACCTATTACAAGAGACAGACAACTGCCAAGTGGAATCGTAACCTAAATTTATACAGTGCTTAGGGATATCTGAATCAGACCTACCCACAGTTTATCTTACAGTGGCCATTGTGCCGGAGAAAGGAGTAATTAAAAGGATAATTTTTTACTGACTTACACTCAAGACCTTGCAATTCCCTATAGCTCCCAGAGCCTGTTTACTCATGTCATAACAGAAAGCCCTCATAAACCTTGGCATGAATTTATTAATACATTTGTTAAAACGTCTCATTATTCAAAAGTCTGTATTTTAGTAGAACATTATATTCCTGTTATAAAAAATAAATAAATGGAAATACTCTGAATGGTCCTTTCCCAATAAAGATTTCCCACCCATCTTGGTTTGAGATAACACGTTCCCTCTAGACTGCAGAGTAGAACACAACCACAGAAAGCCAACACTAGAAAAATTTTTCCATAGTTGCTCTTAAAGAAAAAAGTACGTTTCCAAATTTAAAAAGCAGACAGTAAATGCTGTCTTGTGTGTTCTGGAAAGAACATTAATCAGGTTATTTTTGTAATTTACAAACAACTAGTATAGTTAAATGCTTTGAAGTACTACTTCAGATTTCAGCTGCAAGGAATACAGGCCTACCTTTAACCCAGTTGGTCTTTTGCCAGGCATGTTCTCCCATCGAAACGGGCATTTGTGTTACCAAAAGCACTGTGCATGGATGGGAAAATAACCTCAAGTACTGTAACAATTATTAGACAGCATCCACATGACAAACAGTGGCCTTTCAGACCCAGAAATATTTGTTACTAAGTTTTTGGTTGGTTGAAGGGGTTTTTTGTTTAAAAAGAAAACACCAGCACCACCACAAAAGCACCAAACCACATTTTCAGAGCAGGACTGAACACTGATGTAATTCAAGAATATTCAGAGCTGATTAATTTCTGCATGCCAACAGCATAATCTCCAGAACAACCCAAGAGAAGATGGAAGGAATGCCTGAACTAGACTGACAACTCCTTACAGCTCCTTCGGAAATTCTGCAGAGCACCTCAGAGGAAATTACCATCAGACCCTATATACATACATAAATGCAAGTTGTCTTGTTAAGAGCTACAAGAGCAGCCTTAAATCATCTCCTTATAAATATGCATTGACATTCTGAATATGCAAAACACTCCAATCAAAATTAACTCATTTTCTGCCTCTGAACCAGAATGCTCAACAGATCCCAAATGTCAATGAAGGTGAACCTCCCTAATGCCCCCTCCCCAGTAAAACCTCAGCTCCTTATGGTTACTGTGGCTTGAGCCCTAAGGAATTCCAGACACTGTGATGCTTTGTGGATCTTATTGCCAGTCATGTTTAGAGAGTTCACATTCTATAGTACATCAAACTTCATGAAGTTTCTGCTTTTCTTATCAGAGCTCCTCAACAAAACTCACACCTGACCTGTGAGCAAAGCACATGAACAACAGCTACAGGGAGGAGCTGCGACTCCACATCCCATTCCATATACCAACACAGAGCTGGATAACAAGGTCCAACAGCTACACCATGGGGGGGTAAAAGGGAGGTTTATGAATGACAAATACAGAATCATTGAACAGTTTGGGCTGGAAGGGATATAAAAAGATGATCTAGTTCCAATCCCTGCTATGGGCAGGGACACCTACTAGACCAGGTTGCTCCAAGCTCCAACCAAGCCAACCTTGAACACTTTTAGGGATGGAACATTCACATTTTCTTTGTGCAACCTGTGCCAGGGCCTCACCACCCTCACAGTAAATAATTCCTTCTTAATATCTAATGTCAACCCCTCCTTTGGTTTAAGGCCATTTCAAGGCCAAATATCAGCAGCTTTTTCCAGTTATAGAGAAAACTTCTATAATGAGGCTGGAAAGATCAGGCTTGCACTCCAGCAGTCAGGTGGAATATCAGATGCAGAGCATGGAAGATCACAGGTGTTTTCAGACAAAACACTCTTGCTCAGAGATGGTTCACAGGAAAAGCATTTGAAATTAGTTACAGAAAAAAAATGCAATGGAAAAAGAACTTTAGATTGCATATTTCTTACAGCAAGAATAGCCTCCTAAAGCTTTATTTTAGTGTTCCCATGATCATACAAAAAAGGAGTGCTTGACTGTCTACAAACCAGCACCCAGGAAAAAGTGCAGAATAGGATTCCCAGGGGGCAGCTGTGATTCATGAAGGACACTGCTCCTGCAGCCTCTCTTTGCAAGCCCTCTATATTTTCATTTTATTAGATGCACAGACAAGAGTATAGTAAAGAAACACTTCCATTTTCACAGAATGCCAGGGAGTAACACTGATCCCATTTATAAAGCAGGACAAAGAAAAGAAGGTAGATTCCACAGCATGAGGCACAGTCTGCTTCAAGTGGCAGCTTCTGATAATGTTATCATATCAACCACCACCAACCTTAAAAGGTAGAAAAACTGAAAGTAAAACAAAGCAACAGCAAGTGTACCAGGAAGGCAGAGTGAAGCCTGCATTCTTTTCCAGCCTTAGAGCCTGACTTCATCTTTGCTAGGGTGACCTTCCACTGAGTCCAGGCTTGAATACTAATATTAGACTAAAAAGAAGTGTGCCACCCTCTAAATATAATTATGACTCAAGACCTAGAGGCTTCAGTGATGTAATATGAACAAAGAGATTCTGACTTCACAATCTAGATGCTTAAAACTCAAGTCAAAAGGATTAGATCTTCCTTCCCCTGCAGACACAAAGCCTGCCTAGAGCCTCCCAGAGCATCATCTTGAATTGCCTCTAGGAGAAGGGAACCGAAGAAACATTTCACACATGGCAGCAGACACACTGGCTCCACTTTGTTTAAAAGAAGCACTGAACAGACACATTTCAATTATCTGCTTCACTCAAAGCATCAGCAGAAAGTTTCAGTTCCAGAATTAACATATAAAAGTTAAAGACAACACAGCAGACCAGTAAGCAGTCCAGTGTCTTTCACTGAACCTTAAAAATAAAAATAGCAGCATGAACATGGGCTTTGTTAAGAAATCTGACTGCAAGTATAAAGGGAAAAAAAGCCTTTACAAGTAAGGTTACAAAGAGCTCTTAAAGTATCATCCTTGGACAAATATTTCAGTACCCACCTGAGGGAGCCTTAAATATTTTTCAGGATTCAAGTTCAAAAATACATCTTTAAAAAAAAAAAAAGTCAGAGGAAGTCTAACAGAGGCTTCTGCAGTAAGAGAAAGCAATCATCCAATATATGTAAATAAAGTTGTAATGTGAAATAATCCCTCATGAAAATAGTAATTGTTTTCATAGTAAAGTCATTCTATTAAAATAGGATTATCTTTTCCATTGGCTTGTTAGTTTGACTTTTCTCCTTCCTGCCCCACCCTACCTCCATTAAGCTCACAGCTCAGAAAATGTATTTTTAACCACCTTCATTCCCCAATCTTGCATTCCCACACTGGCCCTCTGCATCAGAAGAATTAGCATACACTTCAACAGGTGTTCATAGAATCACAGATTGGAGGAGGTTGGGAAAAGAGCTCTGGAGGTCATCTTTTCCAACCCACCCCTGGGTCAAGCAGGGCCAGCTCAAGCTCAGCTACCCAGGACCATGTCCAGACAGCTTTGGAGTATCTCCATGGAGAGAGACTGCACCACCTCCCTGGGCACCCTGTGGTATCACTGCCACAGTAAAAAGTGTTTCCTGAGGTTCAGAGGGAACCTCCTGTGTTTCAGTTGATGCTCATGGCCCCTGCTCCTGGCACTTGGCAACACTGAAAAGAGTCCGGATCAGCCCTGTTTGCATGCTGTCTTCATGGGTGCAAACACAGTGCTCAGATCTACCTGAGTTTCTCCATCTCAACAGGCACAGCTCCCTCAGCCTTTCTTCAGAGCAGACAGGCTCCCATCCCTTCATCTTTGTGACCTCCCTCCAGTATGTCTACATCTTCCTCATGCTGGAAATTCCAGGACTGGAAACATTTGATGAGTATTTTCTCATGCAGAAATAATAATAGTATCTCTTATTGGTTTAGATTACATTGGCAAGAAAAAACACTTGGTGAAGTTTGGCTGTCATTGCCTAGGCAGCTTCGCCATAATAACTAAAATGCTCACAAACTTATAAATCACTCTTTATATGAAATAAAACCACCAAGTTTAACTGGTGCTCCTTCCAATTTGAGCCAAAAGAATGGTAAAAAAAGGAGCATGCGGCTTCTAAAACGCTTGGGGAAACACATCCTTCCCTCATGAAAACATATTCTAATAATGACAGCTTTGTGTAAGCATCTCCTGAGGCACTACAGCATCTGAAGAAACTATCCTGAGACAAAGATGCTTCACTTTGACAGTGTGTTTACCAGTCCCACCCTGAAGGAAGTTCCAGTCACAGAACAGAAAGGTTGGTTTTACAAAACAGTGATACATGCCTAACTAAAGCACAACAAAAGGGTTACTAGCCAGAGTTTAAGGGCTATGGGTAGCAATTAACTGCTGAAACACTCGAATACCCACCCTCAGGAGTTATCAGAGTCATGGCCTTCGGTTGACCAACACAGTTGCTTTATCAGGAAAGCTAAAAGGAGCAGCACCTTCCATTCAGTCACACTATCAGCCAAAAATAAGTCTCAATTTTGCCATATCTTGCTCACACATAAAAAGCCCGATCAATGCAACAAACCCATGGGTTAAGGAGAAATTTTATTTTTAGCATCTTTACAATAAGACTTCCATGACCCAACCAAGTCAGTGCTGTACACTCCACAATACCAAATTAATCTGCCCCTACCATTAACAGTTTTATGCCAAAATAAATGATCAGAACACAGGACAGTGACAGCGGCACAACCGAATGTGATCCCAGCTTTGCAACAGATTATCCTGTTGGATAATCTCCACACCTTTGCTGGATTTTAGAAACTATAAAGCTCTGTATTTTGAGCACACTGTAAAGTAGGTACAATTTCATTTTCCACAGGAAAGTGCAGGCTGTCCATGATGGGAGTGGAGATAAGCAAAACCACCTTCCCTCAGCTGTAGCAAGCTGCTATCCTTCTGAAGCTGCTAAAACATCCTGCACAAATCCTTAAATGCCTATATTATCAACCCAGTTATCTGGGGCTTTCTCCTGGTCCAAGCACACATTTCTTTCCAAGAACATAGCCTGGAAGGTAGGGAAATATTTTTTGACCAGATGTTCTGTTAATGAAGAACAATCAGTTGTAAGTAGCATTAATATATATTCCCCTTTTCTTCAGTGTGTCAGGGCAGTCAGTTCCAAACAGCTTCTTTGAAGCCTGATGGCAAACTCATTTTCAGATCCCAGAGTCCACAGCTTGTCAGGCTCAGGATGGTGAGACCTCAAGGTGCCAGCCATGAGAAAACCCAAGCCTGTGTCTTTCCCTGCAAAGGACACAGCCTTCAGCTGCCAGAATTCCTCACCTTCAGAAAATGAACATCCAAACCCAGGCTCTCTGCAAGGTGCCATCATTGCTTTTGACAGGAGACAGAATCCCTTCTAAGAGGGATTGTAGACACACAACACCGGTGAAAGGGTATTTCTGACACAGGACTCAGAACAAACCAAATCAGCTTATCTCCCAGCACAGGTGTACAAGCTGCCAGTAGCTGCTGCAAGTCCATTTTCCATCACAATGTGGAATTTACCCTGTACCTGATACCAAGGAGATAAATGCCTTCAAATTAAAACCTGTCTTTTGTGAATGTACTGCTTAGATATTAGTGTGCTAGAAGTCTGAACTTGACATTTCAGCCCCTTAGACACTTCAAATAATGTAACCTTAGAACTGACAGGGTAACTTTTTTAATGCTGTTCCATGCTAAAGCCACTCAAAACTTCCCACACCAAATCAAACCAGCCATTTACAATGAGGGGTTTCTTTAGCTTCCTTTACTAGCTAGCTTGTAACTTCCAATCATACCTTCATTTTCCTCCTAAAAGTGCAGGTCAAGAGTAAAAGTCAAAAATACATTACAAAAAGCTTTACTTTCTGTAGAATAAACACCACAACTAAACAATATTATATACAACTATTACTGTTGTACATGCTTTTTAGAAGTTTAGTGTACCATTACATATACTTTGGATCAATATATAATTGAAGATAGAGTGTTACCACCATTTATGAATAGTGATCATGTGAGATTTTACAATTTAGCTTAGCAACTTGACAATATTTTATTTTGAATTCATGTGTGCTCTTATCTTGCAGCAACAGTTATTAATAGAAAGGATTATGGGTATTAATCAACTGGGAACACAAGTACATGTTCTACAGGAATAATAAAAACCATAATCAACTCCCCAGGTTCTTGGATTTAATGAGAAATCCAAAGATAATCCCATCTCGTTAAATAGAGACTTACAGGAGAAACCACTTACCTGCAAACAGAGCTGCTCAACCCACAGCATGGACAGGGCATTTACAGACCTGCACGTGGCACAGAACACCTCCACAACCCAGCTGCTATTCTTAAAACACATCCTTAAGTCCTGCAAGTCTTTGGGGATTGCTATCCCACATACTTACATAATCACCCATTCCATTTTCTAACTAAGCCATCAGCTAAATACCAGAATACAACTCTCAAAAGGGAAAGCTCAGGAGCAAGTGGGGATAGAATCTCTGCAGGGTGAAGAGAGATTCTCTACTTCCAGGTGGGCTTCTGCTGTCTTCCTTTAAAAATGGATTTTCAGACCCCTCCAACTTAGTCAAGTTCATTACCAGATGGTGAGAAAATTCTGGAAAATGGCAGAATGTAAATGCAAGATGCTTATTAGCAAAAGGTCTATTCAGTAAAATAGGACACTGCTTTTCAAAACTGCAATTTAGAGTGTAGAATTTGTAATATATAAACACCCATTTTAAAGCTCATATCACAGTACTGATCTATATTACTCAAACATATACAAGACATTATTACAGAAGACAAAAATGCCTAAAAATCTAAACCCAAATAATTCCACTTGTGCAGCCTCAGCAGAATCACTTTCAGTACCTTTAACAGGAAGCCTGTATCCTTATATGTCTTGTTTTATTTCTCTTTTATCTGGTAATCCCTCCCATTAAAAAGTCTTTGTCCATTCTGGTCCCAGTGATTTTGATCCAGTTTTACCTGGATACCTCAGACAGTTTCAGGCAAAACCCACTGTACCACTGCCAGCTTGTTTCTGAATTGAAAAATCTGAACAGGACAGTCAAGTAGCTTCAGATGTGCCTATAACAATTAGCTCAGACTCATTTCATAAGACAATAAAGCCCCAAGCTATCAGTTTTATATTCCTGAAGTCTCAGTCAGAAAGAATACTAGACTAAGAAACAGAAACTGAATTCTTCCTGCAAGAGTTGATTTTCTTGTTATTATTATTATTATCTTAAGACCATGTTGTTCTCAACTTTGTTTTAGATTAGTTGCAGAGTTCAAAATATTTTCATGAAGTTTCTCATGTCTTTTTATCTAGAAAATCTGAAGTGAATGACAGTGAGAACACAGCATTACAGATAACTTAAAACATGCCAGACCTTAACTCTGTTCTCTACAAGTACGTGAAAGGAGGTTGAAGTGAGGCAGGTGGTGGTGGTCTCTTATCCAAATTAGCAATCATTAAAACACATGGAAAAGGTCTCAAGGCATGCCAGGGGAGTTTTAGCTTGGATATTCAGAA